CCGTGGCATGTGGGATCTTCCCGGACCGGGGCACGAACCCGTGTCCCCCGCATCGGCAGGCGGACTCTCAACCACTGCGCCACCAGGGAAGCCCCGTGGATGTAATTCTTTGAAAACATTTTTCATTTCATTAAGGTTACCTAGGATTTTTATAAGATGTTCAAGTTTATTAGAATCAAGATAAAACTATATATATGTCATATAATGTCTTATTAAATAAAACCATTACCATATTTATATTTATATTACATACGTATTAAATATTTTAATATCTCTAATCGCTGTTTTTCTTTTTCTCTTTTTAAAATTAGGTTTTCAAACATTTGACATGTTTAAAGAACTAGTTCTAGATTTTCCTGTTTTTTAATTGTTTAATTTCTAACTTTATCTTTATTTTCTTCCTTCTGCTTCTCCTAAGTTTGTTTTATTATTCTTTTAATTTGGGGATTATTCATTACATTTTTTTCCTTTTCAAATGATGGAAGTATATGAGACTCTGAATTTACTTCCAAATACAGTTTAGGCTATATTCTATAAGATTTGAATGTGAGCCTTCTCATTTTTATTATTTTTTAAATAGTCAATAATGTTAGCTTTGATCGCCTCTTAAATCTATTATTCTTTAGGAGAATTTAAAAATCTCTGAGTGATTGGATTTTATTTATTCATTTAATCTTCTATTATTAATTTCTAGTTTTATTGCTTTGTGGTCACATAAAACAACCTTTATAATTTCTGCTTCTGGATTTTATATATATGTTTTCTTTGTGAACTAGTTATGATCTATTTTAGTAAATATCCTATGAATCCTTGAAGAAATGAGATATTTAATTATTTAAGGCACAGTTATTTCATCCAAGTTTAATTTTTAAATTGAGGTATAATTGACATATGACATTATTTTAGTTTCAGGTGTACGACTTAATGATTTGATATTTGTATATATTGTGAAATGATCACCACAGTAAGTCTAGTTAACATCTGTCACCATAGTTACAAAATGTTTTCTTGTGATGGGAACTTTTAAGAGTTACTCACTTAGCAGCTTTCAAATATACAATAGAGTGTTATTAACTATATTCACTCTGCTGTATATCACATCCCAGGACTTAACTTATTTTATAACTGGAAGTTTGTACCTTTTCACCCCCTTCACCCGTCTCACCCACCCTGCTCCCCCTACCCCCACCTCTGACAACCACCAATCTGTTCTCCGTACCTATGAGCTTGTTTTTTTAAAATCCAAGTTTTATGTCATTTACTTTTTTTACAGCCTGACCTCAAAGACAAAAACAAACTTTTTTTTTTTTTTTGGCTGTACGCCGGCCTCTCATTGTTGTGGCCTCTCCCGTTGCGGAGCACAAGCTCCGGACGTGCAGGCCCAGCGGCCATGGCTCACGGGCCCAGCTGCTCCGCGGCATGTGGGATCTTCCCGGACTGGGGCACGAACCCGTGTCCCCTGCACCGGGAGACAGACTCCCAACCACTGCGCCACCAAGGAAGCCCAGAAACAAATATTTTAAAGCTTCTCAATACCTGTCTTTCTGTCAATTTTTGTTTTTGTTTTTTTTTTTTTTTTTTGCGGTATGTGGGCCTCTCACTGCTGTGGCCTCTCCCGTTGCGGAGCACAGGCTCCGGACGTGCAGGCCCAGTGGCCATGGCTCACGGGCCCAGCCACTCTGCGGCATGTGGGATCCTCCCGGACTGGGGCATGAACCCGTGTCCCCTGCATCGGCAGGTGGACTCTCAACCACTGTGCCACCAGGGAAGCCCTGTCAATTTTTTATATATGTATTTTTCTCAGAATATACATCTATACTTATTTTCACAGTATATATTTTGATTCTGTTATTAAACAACTAAAATTTTATGACCATTATATCTCAAAATTGAGAGTACTTTATATTAAATAAAAAGTGACATTCTTTATTCCACTTTATGCTTTTGGCATGTTGGAAGGTTAGTTTGCCCAAAACTATTACTTCTTACTTTTAATTTCTCTATGCTTGTTAAGGATAAGATAAAAAGATTTATATATGCCTTTCTGTTTTAGATGTATCTCTTTATAAGAAGTATATCATTGGATTTTAATTTTTAACCCAATATGAGAGTCTTATACTTTTAATAGGGGACTTTAGCACATTTCTATTTTTTTGTCATTATTGATATATTTAGTCTTAACCTCTTTTATCTTAATCAAAAAATTTTTAAATGTTTGCTTGTTATTCACTTTCTGTCTTGTGCTACACTGACAGGGTTCATTAACTTTAAATTCTCCCAGATTCGAAAGGTGTGCACCCTGTTTTTAGTGTCACTAGTAATTATCTAGTTATTAAAATTTTCTTCAGATTTACATCCTGTAATTATCAAAGTGAAGAGAGACGATGAAAAATTTAACATTTTTACTATTCTTTCAACAATGTCTCCCACATGCTTTCAGCCTTGGTTAACATAACTTTAGGTGTGGGATCCAAGTTATGAATGTTTACATTATATATCTTCTCTTTCAAAGAATGATTTTTGCCATTTGCATTCAGTTGCATAACCATATTTAACAGTTTTTTTTATTTTTACTTTAGTCTAATTTAACTGGTTTTAATTTTTACCAAAAGTTCTTTTGTTGCTGTGCTGTCCCATCATTAAGGCTTCAATTCGGAATCACTTCATAGTATGTGCCTTCAGGAAAATGATTCAAAAAGGGTGCTTTTGTTTTAACTCTTTCAAGTTTAAGAATGACTTTCTGTTACCTTCTGCTGCAGACCGAATTGTGTTCCCACCTCCACGCCCCAAAATTCATAGGTTGAAGCCCTAACCTCCAATGTGAGGGCATTTGGAGATATGGCCTTTAAGGAGGTAATTAAGGTTAAATGGAGTCATAAGGGTGGGGGCCTGAATCCAATAGGACCAGTGTCCATATAATAGGAAGAGACATCAGGAGTGAGCGCACACAGTGAAAAGGCCTTGTGAGGACAAGGTGAGAAGGCCATTGTCTGCAAGTCAGGAAGAAAGGCCTCACCAGAAAGCAATCCTGCCGACACCTTCATCTTGGACTTCCAGTCTCCAGAACTATGAAAGACTATGTTGTTTAAGCCATTCAGTCTGTGGTACTTTGTTAGGGCAGCCTGAGCTGACTAACATACCTTCCACAGACTGAACACCATGAAAATCATTGGGTCACAGTTTTTTTTTCATCGTGAATTGTAATCTCTAAAAGGTGGCATGGAGAGAGAGTGGGGATAGGAGGAGTATCTGGCTATTTTAAAATCAGTGCTTGGATCTGGAGGAAAGCAGTCCAGTTTCCAGATACTACTGAGCTAGGTGGCCGAGGGTTTGCTTTCTTCCAGCTTGATTTTTTTCTTTCTTTTAGGAGACAGGAGGAGCTTGGATAGATGTTTCTTTTTTTTTGCGGTACGCAGGCCTCTCACTGTTGTGGCCTCTCCCGTTGCGGAGCACAGGCTCCGGACGCGCAGGCTCGGCGGCCATGGCTCGCGGGCCCAGGCGCTCCGCGGCATGTGGGATCTTCCCGGACTGGGGCACGAACCCGTGTCCCCCTGCATCGGCAGGCGGACTCTCAACCACTGCGCCACCAGGGAAGCCCATTGGATAGATGTTTCTTAATTCAGCTCCATCAAAATTATAAGTAGTACAAATTCCCTCCATCCTTCCCAACTCTAACAATGTGGTAAGATATTAGGTTTTGCTGTAGTGTGTTCTCATCCTTTTCTTAGACTTCATAGAAACCAAAAGATTGAGGTAAGGTTTTGCAGAAAAACTCCTACTTTTTATAACCTTTATAAAAGATGACATTTCTAAAGTCTCTGTCTCTAGGGACTAGTTTTACAATTTGTAGAAGTTATATGGAATAAAGAATTATAGAAATAAACCTACAATTCAGACCTAGTAACTGTCTTATGAAAACCTTTTTTCTAGAAGACAACTTGATGTTCTGAAGGGCTCCAAATAGCAGGTTATCGAGGTACCTGAATACTCCACTAGAGTGAGGAAGCTCAGAAACACAACTTCTGTCTTGAGATTTGCACCCTCACGATAGTATTGAGGATGTTACTAATGTAGTATCCCAGTGAACACCCTGGGCCCTGAACACCAGGACAGTGGTTTCTCTTTGCCATGGAGTTTCTAGCTGGGTTTCTGAGAACAAACTGCTAACAAAGGTATGGTAAATCAGGGACTGGGGTTGTTCCCTTGATTTTTGTTTGTTCAATCCTTTATCTATTGCTAAACAAATATTAATATTATTGTGCAACTATTACAAACAAACCAGGCACAGTGCTAGGTGCTGGGAAATATGGGTCACAGAAATGCCATAAACAAAATAGATAACCCGTGTGGTTACCCTTTCAGGGGAGCTTTCAGGTGGGTCCTCGGGGCTGCGGGTGCACCTGGGGTGCAGTGTGTCTATGCACTGTGGGAATTCTCCCCCAGGAGCCCCGGTGGTCACAGCAACTAGCTGGAAGTTTGGCGTAAGTGTGCACATTTGGCTGCCATATAAAGAAGCACTTTCTAGTGATTAGGCTTGTTCATCAGTGGAACAGTCTTCTTTTTGGGGTGGTAAGTTCCTTGCCACTGAGTGATTCAAGCTGAGGCTCTCAAGGATACTGTAGATGAAGCCTCAGAATTCACCATCTAGAACCATAAGCTCTTTGAAGACAGGTCTATGTCTCCTTTGGTTTTGGAACTGGTGTCTCCCAGTGTCTGGCACATAGCACATATTCAATAAAAGCTTGGCAGGTAAATGAACGGATGGATGAATAAAGTGGAAGAGAAGCTGCACTAGATGATCTCCCAAAGCTCCTGTAACTCTGAGATTCAGAGTTTCATATTGAGTCAGTGCCCCAACGGGGCCCAAAATAAAGCTTCTCACCATCACCTCAAAGATTGGCAAAACTTACCGTGCAAGGTGGCTGCATCCAGGGCTCTCCATCCACTTGCATTGGCAGCAGCTTGTTCGTCCTGGAGCCCCGAGAACAGAGAGCACAGTGAGCTTCTTGGAGTCTGAGGATGAGGGTTGCCCCCACCAGGGAAATAGAAGTGGGAAGACCTGACCTGCCCACCTAGGAGTGGTTCTGAAGACTCTCCTGGGGGGGTGGGGCTTGCTGAAAACAGATTTCTGAGCCCACGTCAGGGGTCCCGACTTGACAGGTGTGGGCCAGGCCCAGAGGTCTGTGTTTTAATAAGCACTATGGATGATTCTGTTGCTTTGAACCCCAGACCCTACTTTGAGAAACATGGTCCTGGGTGAGCAGTCAAGTCCAGAGGAGGCTGGGAAACAGCGGCCAACAAGTATGGCAGCACCACAGCCGAGTGGACCCTTAGTCAAACGATCAGCCAGAGGGCCTGTCCATGGTGCCAAAACACCACTATGAAATGGGAAAGGTTATGAAATGGGGAAAGGCCTGGTTTCAATGTTGAGCGAACAGTTGCATCATGTCAGTGAGGTAACGTCTCCCACTTAAACGAGGTACAGCTCAGGTCTGAGTGTGTCTTGCCCTGCCCCCAGTCCTAAAGCATTCCCTCTTTTATCTCCTGAACAACAGTAGATGCTGCGGTTGCATGGATTGTGGACCTGGCTTAGCTGGGAAAGGGGGTCATTGGGAATGTGATCCCCATGGGTAGGCGGCAGAGAGAGGAGAAAGCGTTGCTTTCTTGCTTGGGTCAAGGCTTCTTTGGCATATGGATTATTAAAGGAGAGAGATGAAGGAGAAAAGGCAGGTCCTTTCGGAGGCCTCTGGTCTGGGCGAGCAGGGAACAGTTGCCACCCACTGGCCAGAAAGCCCTCACCTGGGTTTGGCATCTGCCCTGCTTCTGAAATTATAAAATGAGGGAGGCAGGCTGCGTTTCTTTCTTTTTTTTTCAGGCTGTGTTTTGATGTAGATGATTCTCTGACTGACTCTGAGGATATTTAATAATAAGAACCAATAAACCTAATAATAAAACAAATAAGAGGAGAGAGAGAGTGGCATTTTGGTTCTGGGGGGTGAGGAGAGTATCTGGGGAATGCCCAGGAGGCTAGGGCTTCTGACTCACGCCCTCTATTTCTATCTGGAAACAGAAAATATCCTATCTCTTATACATGTTTAAAAAAATTTCTTCAGAGACCACATTCTCTGGTCTACATATGTTATGGCTTAGATGTGCTAACGGACTGGACCTACTCAGTGTTAGAGTCATGCGGAAAGGACAGAGAAGGAACTACAGAGGTTAACCTGGAAAACAGGGGCCCCAGAACAACAACAGCCCAACAAAGAAGAGAAGCAAAGATTTGGGGAATAATTGAAAAGACAGAGGAGACACAGAGAGGGAATGAAGAAAGGGGGTTAGTGGGATAGATCAGGGTACCAGCTCTGAGGACCTTTCTGAAGGATGCAGGGTGGCACCGAGAACAGCGTTTCTCTGAATGTGCTCTGAGGACATTCACCCAAGAGGTTAAGGGATAAAAGGCTTCTGTGTTTAAATAACTTTGGGAAACCTGCATGTGGTGGTCCCCTCCAGGAGATCCCCAAGACACATGAATAGATTTGATCTATAGAAATTAAATGGGAAATGGAAAGGAACAAGGACTCCTGAAATAATCAGGTGGACAAAAATCTGTGACGAGTTGCATTTATTAAACAGAAACAACCAAAATCAGAAGATCCCCTCCATTAGACCCCATCTATTCAGGAACCTGCAGTGGCTGAACTGTGTGGTCCATACTCTAAAGAACTGTCATACTTTTAGTCAGTTATGACGGGCCTGCTGAGGTTGATGGTTTAACTCTACAAAGGTATATGGGATTGCTAACTCTAATAAAAGTATCTCTAAGACCATTATCCAAGAAAGAGCAGAATGGAGCACAGAGCCTGGTTTTTGTCAAAGTGTGCCCTCTGGCATGCATTGAACAGTTCAATCTGTAAAGATAAAGAAGGCAAGGAGTTGGATCTCTGGTTCTCTGGACCTCATAATATGGCAATCCTATTTAGAGAATCTCACCAATTCATTCTAAGAGAACAGCAAACTGGTTGTGGTGGGACCCTTCAGTTGATGTCCTGGATGTCTGCGTTATACCTGGTTGGGGAAGTGGTCTCCAAAGACATTCTTTATAAATGTTATCAAGCTTCTGCCCCACCCCACTCTCTCTGCACTGAAATCTAAAGATGGCTTCCTAGTTGTTATCTGTAAGAATATTCAGGGAGGTGGGGAGACTGGGGGGCTGCTGGGTGATGAGGAAGCATACCTGATGGAGACAGAGGAGCACTGGGCCAGCCTCCTGCCTGCACTCTTCAGGCCAGTGTAGATCTGCCCCATTTCCATGGCTCCCTCTAGCCCCACCACTTCAAGAAGCTGGTCACTGAGGTCTGTAGAGTGAGACAAGCAAAAGCAGTGCACACACATCTCTCTGTTTCCCAGTCTGGTTTGGGCCAGAAGGTCTGGTCCCTAGATGGCCAACCCAGAACTCTCATTATCCCTTCATCTCCTACCAAACAGCATTTTCATCCTCATTCTGAATAGGGAATTTCCCCAGAAGTCAACAAATGTACTTTTCATAAACAGAAACCCAGTTCTAGTAAAAAAAAAAAGGTTTTGATTCAGAAGGTTAACATGCATCCAATGAATAGGCTGACATATCCAGAAGCCTCTTCAAATGGAGCGTAACATAAAGGATGAACCAGCTATTTCTGAAATACAATCCCCCAGTGCAGCTAAAGACACATTGGTTTGGGATTAGGATAGGAAGGAATGCTGATGAAGGTCATTATCCAGAGCTGGATCAGGTTTCTCTTCCCTGAATGTCTGAATAACATTTTGGCCCTACTGACGATGATGGATGCTTAATTAACTTCAAATTTGGCCTGCGGTAAGCCAGTGGTGAGCCAACCTCCTTGGACATCCTTGGGGAAGTCAGTGACCTCTTTCAGGACACCAGGTGCCTAATCTGAGCCAAGGAAAAGAATATTTCACCTACACCAGATTATACTGGGTCCACAGTACAAAAAGAGGGATAGAAAATACGAGTCTCAGGTTCAGAGTCACACAGGATCGATGGCTTCCCACAGTGGCAGTTGCTTCTGATTCAGCACCTAGAAGAGGTCCTTTTTTTTCAAAGTTCCTGGGGCTTGGATTGTGCCTGTCCAATTTCTGGGGAAAGCAATGGCAGGATTAAGGTTTGATGGTGGGCCCAAAGACTCATTTTTACAACACAACTTTTATTTATTTAAAACAGAAGCAAATAAAAAGGCAGATTCTTTAAAAGCTTCCATTCCTTCTTTGCCTACTAAGGCAGGGGAAATTCTCTCATAGGTTGTGGCTAATCACTATTAATTAATTAATTAATTAATCCTATTAATATTCATGAACTAGAAAATTCATGAACTAGAAAATTGTTCTAGAAAATTGTTAATGTTTCTGCTTATTTGACAGATGGCTTCGGTCTTCTAAGGTGCCTCCTGATAAAGTACGATAGTGTTTATTAAGATTGGCAAGGAGATATTTGGGTTTGTCTTTACTTTTTTTTTTTTTCACACACACACACTGTATTTTATTTTTACAAGAGATAAATAAACTGACACCAAGCATTGTGTCTTTACTTTTTTGTTAGACTGTTGTTTAAAAAACAGTCTCTTGACGGATATACTTCTTTTTTTTTTTAACACCTTTATTGGAGTATAATTGCTTTACAATGGTGTGTTAGTTTCTGCTGTATAACAAAGTGAATCAGTTATACATATACATATATTCCCACATCTCCTCCCTCTTGACGGATATACTTCTAATGAAGACAGTTAAACTACTGGGCTGACCACAAATGTGTAAACGTCGCTGAAGTCTAACCTAATGATCACTAATGGACATCAGCTGCCAACAGATACAAAAACTGCATTAGTCTCTCTACACCCATGGTTTTCCCCTCTACATCCATTGACACTCCCATTCCCCTTCTCTGGTACTCCTTTTTTCACAACTGTGAAAAGATACTGTCTCCTTAAACCCTCCATCTCATTTGGATTTGGAACCAGAAGCCATGAATAGGCAAAGTTTGTTCAGGAGAACGCTCCAGGCTCTCTTAAGGAGCTTAGATCCAGTAAACAACAAATGTCTAAGCCTCTAGTCACTTAATTAGTTCCCTTCTTACTAAAGTGTGTTGAATAACCATTGGATAGTTTTAGCTTAATGTGTCATTTTACAGTGTCTGTGAAATCAATATGGGTTGTGAATGAGAGAGAGAAAAAGAAGGAGGAGAGGGAGGAGAAAAATGAGGAGGAGGAGGGGGAGG